ATTGGGCAAATAAATGATAGATGGCTTTTAATTATAAGAAATGCATAGTAGTGCATGTGTGTGTCATCACATGAATTATGAAAAGAAATAATCTAGCAGTATTATGGAAGAAAAATATACAATTTTCTGTTGATCAGTCTCTTAAATCATCCAAGCAGTGTGCTGTTGCTAGGGCATCTAAAGGGGTTATAATTTCTTTGTAGAGGTCACTGATTAAGCCATATTTAGGACATTGTGTTCAGTCTTGGGCTCCTTACTTTAGGAAGGATATTGAACTGTTGGAATGAATTCAGAGGAGAGCAACTAAGATTATACCTAATATGGAAAGGTTGTGAGAAGGGTTATTAGAATGGTGCCTGGGATGGAAAGTGTGTCATGTGAGGAGAGGTTAAGATCTCCAACATCGTTTTCTCTTGAAAAAAAAGAAGAGTTAGAGGGGATCTGATTGAGGTGTTTAACATTTCAAGGGGATTGATAGAGTTGATGTTATCATCTTATTTGGTATTTAATGGTGGGATTAAGGATTGATAGAGTTGATGTACCATCTTCTTTGGTACTTAATGGTGGGATTAGGGATTGATAGAGTTGATGTACCATCTTCTTTGATACTTAATGGTGGGACTAGGGATTGATATATTGATGTACCATCTTCTTTGGTACTTAATGATAGGAAATAGGGATTGATAGAGTTGATGTACCATCTTCTTTGGTACTTAATGATAGGAATAGGGATTGATAGAGTTGACGTACCATCTTCTTTGGTACTTAATGATAGGAATAGGGATTGATAGAGTTGATGTACCATCTTCTTTGGTACTTAATGATAGGAATAGGGATTGATAGAGTTGACGTACCATCTTCTTTGGTACTTAATAGTAGGACAAGGGATTGATAGTTGACGTACCATCTTCTTTGGAACTTAATAATAAGACTAGGGGACACAAACATAAATTTTGGCATGGTAGGAGCTATATTTTTCTAACAGGGTGGTTGGCCTGAGTTGCCTTCAGATATGGTGATTCAGTCAATTTAAAGAAGTTAAGAGAAAGCTTGATAAGGGCTGAATTTGAGCGTTTTATTTGAAGAGTTTATAGTATGGTGGATGGGGTGGCCTAGATGACAAGCAGGACCATTTCTTGTCCTTAAATTATTTGAATGTATGTATGTAACAAGAAGACAATCTTGACACAAATGTTGAAGGAATTGTTTTATATTTTGAAATAAACATGTTATATACCACACTTGTGGTTTAATACTAATTATCTTCATTAATTATGACATCCAATAGCAAATAAGAAATATACAATTTAGAGTTAATTAAAAAAATACTATTTTCTTATAAATAGCTTCACCTATCAGAAATTGTACTTTCTTGCCACAATGATTAAAAGACAGTGTTACAATCTTTATTAACTAACTGTTGCATGCTGAACAGACTGCTCTTACTGACCAGAGAATTCTGTTTGATATTTCTCAAAATATATTGTACAATTTACAAGTAAATTCTTTAGTTTTTCTACAGTAACTTCTAAGTATTTTCAAATACATGTTTTACCAATAACTATTTATTGCAAAAAAATAATCTCTTTTAATTTCAAAAATTAAAATTCTCTAGTTAAAGTCAGAAAACTTAACCACAATGATATACTAGTCACATTACAAATATAGAAACTATCTTTAAACTGAACAGTACACTGACTTTTACAAAACTAGTTTAAAAATTAACTTGGATATTTAGAACACAGTTGCTAGAAAAAGATGACCCTCAGTGTGTTTCACATGTCCAACTGGATGGCACTTTATTTATTTTTAGTATTATTATAACATGTGGGAGGGGGGGGGGGCTAAAATTATTTCATTCGTTAATATAGTCATAAGCAGAATAAAGAACTTGTATTACCGGTTCTTTCATGATTTTGTATTCTTTACGTACACATGCCACAAACTGCTTCTTTTTTTCCTCAGTTTAGAAATGAGTAACAACTGACAATGATTTTATCCACCAAAATGTTCAGTATACAGTGTCCTCGTATAATTTTATAGAAGCTCTCACTGATAGGCTGAATTATGTTCGATTTTTATCATTGAGCTGAAGAAAAAATATAAACAGTTTTCATAACAACAATGTCTGTCAAACAAAGTGGGCACACTTTCAAACTGAAATGAGTATAGAACTTAAAAACTGACAAAAAACAGAAATACATTCAGAAACTATTAGATCTTAAACTTTAAGCTCTGACTCCATTGTATCCTAGAATTGAAATGTCAGATATTAAGATGCCAAATTATTCTGTGAACACCATACAACCATAGTACTACTAATCTAGTTAGCCTACATTCTGTATCACCATATAACCATAGTACTGTTAGTTAGTTTACATTCTGTATC